AATGTGAAAATATGCAACCTATAAGTTTGCTCAACTCTGATTTAAAGATACTCAGTAAATTATTGGCTTTGCGTTTACAAGAATTATTACCAACAGTCATTCATAGAGACCAAAATGGTTTTATTTTAGGCCGACAAGGTCTTCACAATGTCCGCAGGGTCCTTAACATTATCCATGGATTGAAAGAAACCACGGATCAAGCTCTTCTTTCATTAGACGCAGAAAAAGCGTTCGATAAAGTTGAATGGTCTTACCTCTTTGAGGTTTTAAAACGATTTGGTTTTGGGGATATATTCTGCAATTGGATTCATTTACTTTACTCAAATCCCACGGCAGAGATTTTGACAAACAGAAACGTGTCTTCACCAATTAAAATAAAGCGCGGCTGTCGACAGGCTGCGCACTGTCGCCTTTGTTGTTCACCCTGGCCCTAGAACCACTCGCTATAGCGGTGCGAGCCCACCCAACAATATCTGGAATCTCAATAAACCACACAGAACATAGGCTTGCTTTGTATGCCGATGATATAATTCTGTTCATCTCTCGACTAAACACTTCAATCCCAGCCTTGCTGCAACTTATTGGTGAGTTTGGTCATATCATGGGGTACACCATAAATAGATCCAAATCCTCTATCCTTATGCTAGATAAAAATGAGAGAGAGAAGCCACCTCTGGTGACTTCACCCTTTAATTTAGTTTCCAGCTTTACATATTTAGGAATACAAATTCTGTCAAGTTTAGATCTAATAGTTAGGCTTAATTATGAAACAGTCTTAAAAGAAATATCTGACAATATTAGAAGATGGACACTCCTGCCCATGTCCTTGATTGGTCGAATTAACATATATAAAATGAATATACTCCCCAAATTACTATATATATTTCAAAACATTCCCTTACCGCCACCCTGTGATTGGTTTAAGACGTTCAAAACTCTAATTCTATCTTTTCTTTGGAACAATCAAAAAGCTAGGATAAGACTCACTTTGTTGTATCTGCCTTATGAGGATGGAGGCTTAAAATGTCCAAACATAGAATGGTACTACTGGTCTGCTCAATTAAGGTCAATGAGGTATTATTTTCACAAAAAGGATGCCCCACAGTGGGCGGAAATGGAAAGTGAATCGTTGAGCCCACAATTACCTCTGTATATATTTTCCGATACAGAAGTTAACCTAAGTAAGAAAACAAATAATCCAATAGTCAAGAATGTCATAAAAGTGTGGTATGCAATAAAAAAACTGTTAAAAGATTCCAACACTTATCACAATTCAGTCCCATTTGGGCCAATCAGGACTTCAAACCAGGCAGAAAAGATGCAGTCTTTAAACAATGGGCAATAAATGGGCTGGAAAAGATTAAAGATCTATACCCCACAAATTCTAATATTATGATGTCTTTTGAAGAGCTGCAGCAAAAATATAATATTCACAGGAAGTACTTTTTCAAATATCTGCAACTTAGGAACTATATTGGGACAAAGAAAAATGATCTTTTGATACCACCTACATCTAATTTGGAGATTTTGATCTCTAAGGAAGGCTCAAAAAAGGGGGCAATTTCTGAATTTTATAATTTTTTGTTGTCAAACTCCCTCAGGATTACAAATCTGAAACTCAATGCTTGGAGGAATGATCTAGACACAAATATATCTTTAGAAGATTGGCATATGGTATGCACCAAAGCTCAAAAACAAACTATTAACTCCAGATTGAGGTTACTCCAATATAAATGGTTGATGCGAGTCTATGTCACCCCAGTTAAACTCAATAAGTACAACCCCAATATCCCAGATACATGTACAAAATGCAATGAAGAAAAGGGTACATTATTCCACTGCATCTGGGACTGTAGGATAATTAAATCATTTTGGACAGAAATCATTCAAACTATGAAAGGAATTGTATTAAAGACTGTAACCTTGGAACCAAGCTTTTTAATTTTGGGAATTTATCCAAAGAATGTAACATATACAAGTAGTGAGAAAATACTTATAGATATGAGTATCCTACAAGCTAAACGGTTGATTGCACTGCACTGGAAAAATAATAAAAGCCCGAGCATAGGACAATGGGCTAAACAGATGCTTGCTGTTTTGCCACTGGAACGAATCACATTTATTCTAAAAGGGAAAAGTGAATTGTTTGAAGCTGTTTGGAGGCCATTCATCATGTATGTAAGAGACATGAGCCTACTGAATGAGCTCAGTGAAGAAGAATCTTGATTGTTTTTATTATAGGTGTTCTGATATATATGTCTGGGAGGGTGTGTGTGTGCAATCTCAAACAGAAACGTGTCTTCACCAATTAAAATAAAGCGCGGCTGTCGACAGGGGCGCACCTGTCGCCTTTGTTGTTCACCCTGGCCCTAGAACCACTCGCTAAACCACACAGAACATAGGCTTGCTTTGTATGCCGATGATATAATTCTGTTCATCTCTCGACTAAACACTTCAATCCCAGCCTTGCTGCAACTTATTGGTGAGTTTGGTCATATCATGGGGTACACCATAAATAGATCCAAATCCTCTATCCTTATGCTAGATAAAAATGAGAGAGAGAAGCCACCTCTGGTGACTTCACCCTTTAATTTAGTTTCCAGCTTTACATATTTAGGAATACAAATTCTGTCAAGTTTAGATCCTAATAGTTAGGCTTAATTATGAAACAGTCTTAAAAGAAATATCTGACAATATTAAAAGATGGACACTCCTGCCCATGTCCTTGATTGGTCGAATTAACATATATAAAATGAATATACTCCCCAAATTACTATATATATTTCAAAACATTCCCTTACCGCCACCCTGTGATTGGTTTAAGACGTTCAAAACTCTAATTCTATCTTTTCTTTGGAACAATCAAAAAGCTAGGATAAGACTCACTTTGTTGTATCTGCCTTATGAGGATGGAGGCTTAAAATGTCCAAACATAGAATGGTACTACTGGTCTGCTCAATTAAGGTCAATGAGGTATTATTTTCACAAAAAGGATGCCCCACAGTGGGCGGAAATGGAAAGTGAATCGTTGAGCCCACAATTACCTCTGTATATATTTTCCGATACAGAAGTTAACCTAAGTAAGAAAACAAATAATCCAATAGTCAAGAATGTCATAAAAGTGTGGTATGCAATAAAAAAACTGTTAAAAGATTCCAACACTTTATCACAATTCAGTCCCATTTGGGCCAATCAGGACTTCAAACCAGGCAGAAAAGATGCAGTCTTTAAACAATGGGCAATAAATGGGCTGGAAAAGATTAAAGATCTATACCCCACAAATTCTAATATTATGATGTCTTTTGAAGAGCTGCAGCAAAAATATAATATTCACAGGAAGTACTTTTTCAAATATCTGCAACTTAGGAACTATATTGGGACAAAGAAAAATGATCTTTTGATACCACCTACATCTAATTTGGAGATTTTGATCTCTAAGGAAGGCTCAAAAAAGGGGGCAATTTCTGAATTTTATAATTTTTTGTTGTCAAACTCTTTTGAGGATTCAAATCTGAAGCTCAATGCTTGGAGGAATGATCTAGACACAAATATATCTTTAGAAGATTGGCATATGGTATGCACCAAAGCTCAAAAACAAACTATTAACTCCAGATTGAGGTTACTCCAATATAAATGGTTGATGCGAGTCTATGTCACCCCAGTTAAACTCAATAAGTACAACCCCAATATCCCAGATACATGTACAAAATGCAATGAAGAAAAGGGTACATTATTCCACTGCATCTGGGATTGTAGGATAATTAAATCATTTTGGACAGAAATCATTCAAACTATGAAAGGAATTGCATTAAAGACCGTAACCTTGGAACCAAGCTTTTTAATTTTGGGAATTTATCCAAAGAATGTAACATATACAAGTAGTGAGAAAATACTTATAGATATGAGTATCCTACAAGCTAAACGGTTGATTGCACTGCACTGGAAAAATAATAAAAGCCCGAGCATAGGACAATGGGCTAAACAGATGCTTGCTGTTTTGCCACTGGAACGAATCACATTTATTCTAAAAGGGAAAAGTGAATTGTTTGAAGCTGTTTGGAGGCCATTCATCATGTATGTAAGAGACATGAGCCTACTGAATGAGCTCAGTGAAGAAGAATCTTGATTGTTTTTATTATAGGTGTTCTGATATATATGTCTGGGAGGGTGTGTGTGTTTGCGTTGTTTTGTAAAAAAAAAAAACTGAAAATATAAATAAATATATTGTTGGAAAAAAAAAAGCTACAATTCAGATTAAAATTGAATCCAAGAAATTGATTTTTTTTAGTGAATTGAAATAAGTACATTATTCAAATACAACAGACTAAATTCAGACTAGAGTCACACACAAAAACGAACATTAACCTCAGATGTAAATGACCAAAGGAAACGGTAAAGTTAAACAGGTATTTTTTTTATTTAAATATCGCGATATCGCGATACTGAACAGAATCGATTTTGTTTCTTATTATTATTATTTATTATTATTATTTATTATTATTATTTATTATGTTATTATTATTTTTTATCTAATTTTTCAGAGGGGGAAGTTGGAATTTCTGAGATCCCATTAACACTGCAAAAGAACTGAGCTTTTAGACTTTTATAGAGAAAGGGCAGAGCTACATGTTTGTGTCAAAAGTTACTGGTATTAGCGTGGATGGACCTAAATACAACTCCAGGTCTGTGTTTGAAGAGGAGCAATGATGGAACTTGGTCAAATCCTCAAAAGGTTTTGGAAAATACAGTACGTACAAACCAAGATCGGAGAAAGTGAACCAGGACCGGCCCAGAGAAAGTGAACCAGTCTAGCAGTGAAAGCAGCCAGTCTGAATATAACAGAAAAAGTCCCTTAAACATGGCCCTCCAGCTGATTTGGTCTCAGCCTGTGAACCCGGCCCACATTGACACACTCCTGCCTGGTGGTCAGTGGTCAGAGCGGGACAGAGCGGGACAGAGCGGGACAGAGCGGGACAGAGCGGGACAGAGCGGGTACTTACGAGACTTCTGCCCCCACACGTGCAGGTGCAGCTTCCCGGAGGAGTAGTAGATGAAGCCCAGGACCAGCATGGGGCACAGGACGAACAGCAGCTTGTGTGTGGGCTTCATGGTCCGCGGTGGCTCATTCACATGGTACCATCCGGCTCCTCACCTGAGAACAAGACATTGAATTGAATTGATAGAAATGTAAGAAAAAAAACACATCATAAAGACTGAATAAATGTTGAATTATGATGCGAAGTTTCGGGTTGTCTTGTTCAGCAATTGCTTGTTATCCTGTCTGTCTGAACTTTTCCAATGGACACCAGGAAGACCAGCGACTACTTGTGTAATGGGAATCCAAATAATTAAACAAAAATATCACAAGACAGAACTGAAAACATGGACAGATGTCAAGCTGTTGATATTTACACCAAACTCAAGCTAAAACATTCAATTCTCAATCACATTAAAGGAGCAGTATGTAAACGTGTGGCCAAAAGTGGTACTGCAGCCTCTCCCACTCTCCCTGACTCAGGTTGCCAGATATGCAGACCATAACAGCTGAATAGACAAGAGTTTTGTCAACAACAAATCTATAACCAACACCTTTTTCACAAAGATAGAAATCCTGGTTTTATTCCTTGTTTTGTCGTTAATGATTTGAGAATCATAACGAGACCTTTTTTAGTTGGTACTTTACCAGTGAGATTATCTTCACGCGGTGAGTTCTGGCGTCCGGATCAAAGACTTTCTGATTGGTGAAACGGTGGAGGGCGGGACATCGAAATTAAAACAACAAAAAGATTTAGGGGCTGGAAAAGTAATTTAGAAATTCTAATATCTCTGAACTACTGTTATCAGAACAGGTTTTATTAATGCCTTTTGACAGATTGGGGCCCTTTAATGATGACTTTACATGAATATTTTACTTATTGCTACTTTAAAGTCCTCAGAGACAGTTTGAATCTAGAATAAAACACAGGAAATACAATAATAACAAACACACAGAAGCCATTGGTCCATACGAAGCTGGATGAACAAAAGGTCTAGCAAAGGTTAATAAACACCCTTAAATGTCCTATCTACAAAGCTATGTTTTTGCCTCACGAAACCCAGAACTGGCCCAGAGAAAGTGAACCAGCTAAACCAATGAATGTGAACGAGGCCTCAGTCCGTCAGACCATCCCAGAAAAAGCTAAAAAATCTTTATAATCAAATAAAAACGACTAAAGCAGGAGTCTCCAACCTATAGCACCTCGACAAGTATTTTGGAATCACAGACAATCTCCTGAATAATCAACATTTTGGGCCATATGCCTTAAAACTATTAGTGCAGAAAATGAAAGTAAAGGTTTACAATAGAGAGAAAGAGAGATAGAGAGCTTGAAATAGTTTTATGCTAATAGCGCTGCATCTTAGTCAAGCGCAATATTGCACCAACTCAATTCTCTGCCATTTTTGTCCCCAAAAAGTAGCTCCTCCTGACCCCTGTACTATTGACCAGAGCCAGTCACTTCTAAACGGAGTCTTTTACCACGTGACTGAATGAATGAGCCGCAATAAAAAACAAAAACAAGAACAAAAGCAACATCTGTTTTGTGCGTAAACGGCTCGGACGTCGGGCCGGTCCACGTCCACAAAAGCACCTTTGACGGGAGCACATATGATTGAACTCTACACAATAAAACCGCAAACATGAAGCGATGAAGGAATGTGCTGCCGGAATAAAACGTAAAGAGGGAGAGGGAGAGCGAGCGAGAGAAAGAGAGCGAAAGAGATAGACAGAGAGAAAGAGAACAGAGAGAGGGACCAGAGAGAGGGACCAGAGAGAGACCAGAGAGAGACCAGAGAGAGGGACCAGAGAGAGACCAGAGAGAGGGGCCAGAGAGAGAGACCAGAGAGAGGGACCAGAGAGAGAGACCAGAGAGAGGGACCAGAGAGAGAGACCAGAGAGAGAGACCAGAGCGAGAGAAAAAGGTCCAGAGAGAAACACCAGAGAGAGACCCGAGAGAGAGACTTTTGCACATGTATTCTAATGTGGTTTTACTGCAAATGGCGAATCAACTGAAAGGGCTTTGAAACATTGCGCCCAAAAAAATCATCTATATCGATGCTACTGTTGCTACTGCTACTGCTGCTGCTGCTGCTGCTTTGACAGGTAACATAATGATACACTCTGCTTTCTAATCTGTGCAGCGGAGGCCAGACAGAGGACAGAAATCTCCAGAGGCTCCAGCACCGTCCACTCACACTGTGGTCCAGGCCGAGTCCATAAAGAAGAGGATCAGAGACGGAGGCAGGACACTAAATAACCATTAAAGCTGTGTACTTTTAGTCCTTTAATCAGATGAAATGGACCAGTTTTTCTATTGGATTGACTTGATTCTTTAACTTCAAGAATTTCCCAATATAGCTTAATGTAGGACCACAGCGACAACAATAATCAGGTTATTAAGAAAGCTCGTCAGCGTGTCTACTTTGTTCCGAAACTTAGAGAATGTATATCAAAGTCTAAGATTCTGCTTCACTTTTATCGCTGCATCATTGACAGTTTGCTTGTTGGTTTGTGACTGTGGTTCTGCGATATCATAGTCAAAGAAAGGAGAGAGACCAGAGAGAGCAGAGAGAGGACTGAGAGAGAGACCAGAGAGAGAGCAGAGAGAGAACAGAGAGAGGGGCCAAAGACAGAGCGAAGAGAGACCAGAGAGAGAGACCAGAGAGAGAGACCAGAGAGAGACCATAGAGAGGCCAGAGAGAGAGCGAAGAGAGACCAGGGAGAGAGACCAGAGAGAGAGACCAGAGAGAGAGGCCAGAGAGAGAGGCCAGAGAGAGGCCAGAGAGAGAGACCAGAGAGAGAGACCAGAGAGAGACCATAGAGAGGCCAGAGAGAGAGCGAAGAGAGACCAGGGAGAGAGACCAGAGAGAGAGGCCAGAGAGAGAGGCCAGAGAGAGAGCGAAGAGAGACCAGAGAGAGAGACCAGAGAGAGACCACAGAGAGAGGCCAGAGAGAGAGGCCAGAGAGAGAGACCAGAGAGAGGCCTGAGAGAGAGACCAGAGAGAGAGACCAGAGAGAGACCAGAGAGAGGCCTGAGAGAGAGACCAGAGAGAGAGACCAGAGAGAGAGACCAGAGAGAGAGGCCAGAGAGAGGCCTGAGAGAGACCAGAGAGAGACCAGAGAGAGACCAGAGAGAGACCAGAGAGAGACCAGAGAGAGACCAGAGAGAGACCAGAGAGAGACCAGAGAGAGACCAGAGAGAGACCAGAGAGAGACCAGAGAGAGACCAGAGAGAGACCAGAGAGAGACCAGAGAGAGAGACCAGAGAGAGAGGCCAGGGAGACCAGAGAGAGGCCAGAGAGAGAGACTAGAGAGACCCGAGAGAGAAGAACACATGGAAGCAACAAACTATTGAATGATATGAATGATCCCACCCAACGGAAATCTCGAAAATGAACCCAACATTTTACGACAAGTCAAAAATGCAAAATCTACGGCTCTATGAGAGTCATAGAGCCGTCATAGAGAGTTTGTCTGTGCACACTGGAGACTTTTTGCTGATGTATTCCAGTGTGGTTTTTTACTGCAAATGGCAAATAAATAAACTGATCTATAACAGTCTTGTTATGTTTTGCGCAGAGGTTAGAGCTTGTGCCTCACAGCAAGAAGGTCCTGGATTCGATTCCACCTCCAGGCCTTTCTGTGCAGAGTTTGCATGTTCTCCCTGTGTCTGTATGTTTCCTCCTAGCGCTCCAGTTTCCCCTACCACTAAAAACATTTCCAATAGGTCTGAATGTAATGAGAGAGAGAATGGATGGTGTTTGGTCAGAGGTTTTGATGGACCAGTGTTGAGAGAATGGGACACGGTAAAGTGGTCTTGGTCTGTAAAATGTGCTGTGTAAATGGGCTTGTTCACACTAAAGGGCACAGAAGTGTGACAAAAGGCCAAAAAGGATTTTATTAATCCAAAGATAATTTATGTTTTTCATGTATCCAAATCCCTCCTCTGTCCATTAGAAGTTGCTAGAACAAAACTGTTTTATACATTAGATAAGTTTTCTATAGCGGCCCTGTTAAAGTAAGTAAGTAAGTAATTTATATATCGCCTTTCACAGATCTGAGTCTCAAAGCGGTTTACAATTGTTACTTTCTGGGCATTAGTCTCACTCCGCACAGAGATGGGAGCGGGGTCAGTACAGGAGGCACATGCCAGAACTATTGGACACGTTTTTAGTGGTAGGGGAAACCGGAGCACCCGGAGAAAACCTAAGCACACACGGGGAGAACATGAAAACTCCACTCAGAAAGACCCTGTTCCGACCGGGATTCGAACCCAGGACCTTCTTGCTGAGAAGCGAGAGTGCTATCCACTCAGCCACCGTGCCGCCCGTTTATTTTATGTAACGGACGATGATTTGACGGAATGAGCTGCGGAAGTTTGTTTCTTATTTTCAGATCTACACATTTGATTAAGAGATTCTATTTCTTTTGTTTAAGTAGAAACAAAGTGACACTTTCATATAATCAACCAATTAAATGTGAAAACAGACCAGATTTTTTTTCCTCAAGTTTAACTGTTAGAGAAAAATGGACGGAAACCATCACGTCCGTTACACATTTTTCAAGGGTCATTTAATTAATAAATGTATTTTTTAACGATTCCTTTTCCTTTTGATTCCTTCACGTGATTTACTGATGTTGTGTTAATCATGTAAATCTGTGGGATTTAATTTGCTGCTTTTTCAGACTGAGGACATTTTATTTTCTTTGTAACTGGCGTCACAGTAGAACGGTCCAATCAGAGGCTGATTTGGTCGTTTAAAATGTCGCCAAAAATATATTTGTCAATCTTTCCTTTTGATTTTATCCACACTATCTCTTCAATGTGTCTGTTTGAAATATTTTCTTCAATCTATGATAGTCATTTTAGTTTTTTAAGTTATAACCTTTTAATTAAAGTCCAGACACTTTAGTTGACGCTTTACTGTGAACACACACGACTTACAGAACAGTTGACCACAGTTTGTTTTAAATCGTGTCATTCGAGTTACTTAACGTTGTAAAATTCATAACCAGAGAAAGTATTCGAAAGGAAACGTTTGCAACCACCGTTTTTTTTTTATCAGAAATG